TCAACACAGCAGGAGGCCCCAGAGGCGCTTCCTCCAGGACCCGTGGAAGGGGGTACGGAGGAGGGAGGAGACGGGGTGCCCCTCCAGGCCCCGCCCACTCGGGCCTTCAGACTCCAGCCCCTGGGAAGTCGAGGCTGCAGGGGCCTCTGAGGTCCTACGGACTAACTTTCTCTCTGGACAAATGGGGACACTGAGGCTGATGATGGAACCAAGTCCACTGTACATTCTGGGATTGCCACAAAACGGAGGAGACCAGAGACTGGCGGCTGAGGCATGGAGGCCATGGAGGGGCAGAGGGGGCCTCCCAGGGCAACTGCTCCTCCAGATTCTCTGGGGAGAAGCCTCCCCAACAACAGTGGTCCCAGACCCGCCCAACATCAGTTATTTGGAAGCTTCCCCCACCCCCAGCATCTTATTATAAAAATTTTCGAACCTGCAGAAAAGGAAAGGAATTGTGCAGTGAAGAGTGCTCCCCCTGCTAGTGCCTTGGTTTACCCTCACTCTGTTTGCCGTATCCCATTATCTGTCAGTCCCTCCCTTTGTCGGTCCGTCTCTTTACCCTATTTTTCTGACGTCTCCAGGTCAGAGGCAGACGGCAGCACCTTGCCACTCAGAGGCACTGTCTTTAAATGCAGATTTCCTGTCCCACTCCCAGGAGCTCTGACTCTGAGGATCTGGGAAGGGTCCCCGAATCCGTTCCCACAGGACTGGATGTGCAGTGTAGTTCCTCCCCTCTGTCACTGTCTTCCCATCTCCATCTCCCCAATGGCCTTCAATCCCTGGGTGGCCCTACATGTGGGCCTTTCCTGTCTCTCCAGGCACTGAGCTGGGGGACAGGCATGGAGACAGCCTCTGTGCATCATCATCTTTGGAATGGGCGGAGGCCATCCTAGTCACAGTTGCCATGAGGGTGAAATGCCATGCAGGGGTGGTGCTTAGGACTCTCATCTCCTGCAGGGTGTCTCTTTGCCCTCCAGGCCTCTGTCTCCATGCCTACTATATGCATCCTGGCTCCCTCCTCTATGAGCCTGCTGTATGCTTTGCGGCTCCTTCGTCTCTGGGCTCCATTTTGTCACCTCTGTGCCTGTCTGGGCCTGCGTGGATGGCAGTGCAGCAAAGCCTCTCAGCAAGCTCTGCAGGGAAGAGGGAGCCTCAGCCCTTCGGCCCCAGCAGGGCCTTCCCGCCCACCCACACTGTGAGCCCCGCGCCCGCATGTTTCCTGGAGCCTCCACCTGGCAGCGCTGAGCTCTCTCATGATGGTGTGGAACTCCCTTCCCATGGCTGCTACGGGGGCTGGAGTCAGGCCCTTTTCAGTGGGAGCTGGCTGACAGCTTTGTTTTTTGGAATTGGAAGTCCATGGGGGCAGAAAAGAAGCAGGTGGTCACCATGGTGATATCCCTCATCTAAGGTGGAGCCAACAAGCAGCAGGTGGGGGTGACAGCAGGGAATGGAAGAATACTCTGGTGGGGAGGAGACCAAGGTGGTGACTTCTTCCAAAAGCAGCCACAGAATGGGGGACAGTGAGGGATGTGGATGGGGGGACACACCTTGAGGATTGGGACCAACACCTGTGGGAGTGAGGACACCGTGTTTAAGGAGGAAGGATGGAGAGGGGCTTGCTGTCGGCCCTGTGTGAAGTTGGTGGTGTGCTCTCTGGCAGAACCCCAAGCCTGAGCCTTTCCAGGGTCCCGTGTGCCACGAAGCTTGCTGGAGATGAGACATAGGCCCGTCCCACACACACCAGCACATGCATACATGCACCTGCACACACACACAAGATTTCACACATGCACACATACCCAAGATTGCACGCCCGCATACACAGACATGCACACCCGCCTGCACACATGAACACACATGCACACTTACACATGATTTTACATGACACAAGCACAAGATTGCACGCACATGCACACATGCACATGCAGACACACACATGCATACACACATAAGCACATGCACGCAGGCACAGAATTTCACATGCACGCATGCACAGGATTTCGGGCACACATGTTTACAGGATTTCACACATGCAGACATACACACGCATGCACAAGCCCATACACGCACACACAAACACTTGCCCATGTCGCGTTGCATCCACTTCTGTCCACACCGCCCAATACATTCGAGCTCCCTCAGTTGCGACCCCGTAACAGGTCTCCTGCCACCTCCACTCGCATGTGCACACAGCCCTCTGCGTGTTAGGACTGTGCGTTACGTGGTGGGCGGGGCCAGTGGAAGACCGTGAGCACAAGATTCTAAAAGCCATGAACACCGAGTAAGTGACTTGAGGCCTCAGGCCCGCGGCTCGAGGTCTCTCCTTCAGGCGGAGTCCGACTGCCCAGCAGGGGGTGCTGTGGACCCAGAGTTCGCAGGAGGGTCTTCCTGCGGGCGTGAGACGCTGCTGAGGGGCCGGGCGTCCAGGGACCGGTCCCGAGGACCGCGCCTGCTGTCTGCTCCCCCTCCAGGCGACACCTCAGGTCCAGCCCCGGGGAAAACTGGAGCCCAGCGAGTTCATTTCCAACACGAGAGTCTCTCCAGCATCCCCTCCCCATTCCCCCCCCACACACACACCACGTCCAGTCTGGGCCTCCTTCTTGCCCCTTGCCCCAGCTGGTCCCTCTGCCAGGTCCACTGGAGCTGCACGGGCCTGGCAGGGGTGGGGGGGACCACACAGGCCTAGGCTCTGCCTCAGCAAATGTGTCACCTTAGGTGGTGGGATCAGAGCGTCAGTGGCACGCTTGGAATGTCCGTCTGGAGGGTCCCCAGTTGTCCTGACGGCGCCGTCTGCTGTAACAAAAGACAACACGCCCTGTGGCTGGTGGGCTCTGGTCCCTTTCCAAATGTTGGCAATGCTGTGGACACATCTGGGCGCAGGACAGACCAGACACACGTGGAGAGAAGGGAGGAGAACCAGGACTCTCTGCAGATGAGGGCTGGATTACCTGGGTGTGTGCCTGTCCCACATCAAGTGGCAGCACGTGACTCAGGCACTGTGCCCTGATGTCCAGCCAGAGGGGACAGGGGATGGGCCTGCACTGGAGATCCGTTCCCACCAGGGCCAGGGGTTGCTTATATGGAGTTCGCCCTGGAAAGGGTCTTTGGCATCTAAGTGTCATTTGCAATTTGAGGATGAAAGTGCAAACATGAGCCCACAGACCTGCTTTCCCAGGCGCCTTGAGGACAGCACCTACCGTCAGGCGTCAGCATAGCCAGCTCAGGCAGGGCTGCCCAGACAGCACAGGTGCAGTGTAAATACACCAAGAGCCCAGAGTGTGCATGGACAGGTGGGCAGCGGGCCTGGGGGTCAAGGTGGAAGGTGGGGAAGGACTGAAGATGCCAGCGGAGACTAACTCTGGGCAGACACCTTGGCAATGTTGGTGGAAAGGCCTTTGCTCTTGGAAATCGGGGCACTTGAGCTTTGGGCACATCACTTGACCTCTCCGAGCTCTGACTTCCTGGTCTATGAAATATGGGTGTGTTTAAATACTTGTGTGAAGTACTCACAGCAGTCATTTCTAAAGGTTGCACAGATATGTATTTGTTTACTCTGGGGTGCGAGAATGGAGGGACAGGGAGGAAAGGATTTTGGTTTTTGGTTTTTTACATTTTATTCCTCTGTAAAGTTTCTGTTTCTATTAATTTTAGAGTTTTATTTTAAAAAGAAACGCTAGCTGGGTGTGGTGGCTCAAGCCTATAATCCCAGCACTTTGAAAGGCCAAGGCAAGAGGATTACCTAAGCCCACAGGTTCAAGACCAACCTGGGCAACTTTGACGAGACCCCATTTCTACAATAAATCAAAAAATTAGCCAGGCGTGATGGTGCATGCGCCTGTGGTTCCAGCTACTGGGAAGGCTGAGGCGGAAAGATTGCCTGAGCCCAGCAGGTCGAGGCTGTGGTGGCCATGGGTGTGCCACTGCACTCCAGCCTGGGCGACAGAGACTCCTACTCAAAAAACAAAAAACAAAAACGAACAAACAATGAAACAGTGGTCAGCGGGTTTTGCAACATGATCAGCAAATCTTGGTTTTAAGTTTTCTAAGGCCTCCTTCTTTGATGTTAAAGATTAGCCCCATCACTCCTGGCCTCCATAGCATGTTCCGTGTACCCACGCTGCTTACCCCTACCGGTATCTGCCTCACTTGTACACAGCCCAGATGCTTGCTCAGCCACCTCTCCTCCCTGGCAAAGTGGACTTTGTTCAGGTCCACCCAGGTGATAAATTGTGACCAGATTATCTCATCATGAGGATGCTGATGTCCCACGTCCTCCGATTCAGGATGAGGGGTCTGCGGGGGGGCTCTGGGGAAGCTTTGTTCCTCCACGAACAGGAGCCGGCGAGGCTGAGGCACCTCCCTCCCATCCCCCATCCTTGACCGAGCTTCCTGGACACCCTGAGTACCCTATGACAGTGAGGCAGGGGCCCTGGACACACAGGGCAGTGACAAGGCCCCTCACCTGGGCTCCTTCAGGCTCCCAAAGGTGAGAACCTTCTTTCTTTCTGCTGTTGCCAAGCTCCTAGAACAGCACTGGGGCCACGGTGGCCACTCATCACCCTTGGGAGACCAAGGGAGTGTGACATTGCTCAGGCCACAGTGAGCGGGGAGTCCTGCTCACAGTGAGCTGTGATCGTGCCACTGCACTCCAGCCTAGGCAACAGAATGAGTTCCCAACTCAAAAAATAAATAAATAAAATAAAAAGATATAGCCGGGCTCGGTGGCTCAGCCTGTAATCCCGCGCCTTGGGAGGCTGAGATGAGTGGATTGCCTGAGCCCGCGGGTTCGAGACCCGCCTGGGCAACTTGGCGAGACCTCATCTCTACAATAAATCAAAAATTAGTCAGGTGTGGTAACACACACCTGTAGTTCCAGCTACTCATAAGGCTGAGGCGGAAGGATCGCTAGAGCCCAGCAGATCAAGGCTGCGGTGGCCGGGAGCATGCCACTGCACTCCAGTGTGGGTGACAGAGTGAGACTCCAACTCAAAAAAAATAAAAATAAATAAAAAATAAAAGATATTAGCTATTCATATATAACAAAACATACCATATAGAATAATGGTGCATAGTCCACTCTGGTCTGTACAATAAGTTTATTCCTTTTTTTTTTTTTTTTTTTGAGTTGGAGTCTTACTCTG